CGAGCGCTGTCCACTCAGCCACCAGGCCCCTCTGTGTAAATCATCTTATGACACTAACTCAAGTCTTGAATGAAGTGTTAACCCATAATTGATACAAATAATTATACAAATAACCACAACGGCAAATCAGCTCGCTGACAGATAAACAAAAAAAATACGAACCTAATTAATTTGTTGTAAAAATGTGGGACGTTAATCTGATGAGTTGTTGATTCCTTTGATTGATAGTCAACTGGTGTGAGTGGTTGATCTCAGGAGCTGATAGTCAACTGTGTGAGTGGTTGATCTCAGGAGCTGATAGTCAACTGTGTGAGTGGTTGATCTCAGGAGCTGATAGTCAACTGTGTGAGTGGTTGATCTCAGGAGCTGATAGTCAACTGTGTGAGTGGTTGATCTCAGGAGCTGATAGTCAACTGTGTGAGTGGTTGATCTCAGGAGCTGATAGTCAACTGTGTGAGTGGTTGATCTCAGGAGCTGATAGTCAACTGTGTGAGTGGTTGATCTCAGGAGCTGATAGTCAACTGTGTGAGTGGTTGATCTCAGGAGCTGATAGTCAACTGTGTGAGTGGTTGATCTCAGGAGCTGATAGTCAACTGTGTGAGTGGTTGATCTCAGGAGCTGATAGTCAACTGTGTGAGTGGTTGATCTCAGGAGCTGATAGTCAACTGTGTGAGTGGTTGATCTCAGGAGCTGATAGTCAACTGTGTGAGTGGTTGATCTCAGGAGCTGATAGTCAACTGTGTGAGTGGTTGATCTCAGGAGCTGATAGTCAACTGTGTGAGTGGTTGATCTCAGGAGCTGATAGTCAACTGTGTGAGTGGTTGATCTCAGGAGCTGATAGTCAACTGTGTGAGTGGTTGATCTCAGGAGCTGATAGTCAACTGTGTGAGTGGTTGATCTCAGGAACTGATAGTCAACTGGTGTGAGAGGTTGATCTCAGGAGCTGATAGTCAACTGTGTGAGAGGTTGATCTCAGGAGCTGATAGTCAACTGGTGTGAGAGGTTGATCTCAGGAGCTGATAGTCAACTGGTGTGAGAGGTTGATCTCAGGAGCTGATAGTCAACTGATGTGTAAACTTGTTTGATGATTGTTTTAAGGCCTGTCAGCCTCTGGAAGGTTGTTAGCGCCATCGCAATACTTTATTGGCTAACAAACAAGTTTACTTTAGTTGTAAAGACAGTCGAGGACAAAGGTAAACTGTGAGTGTATAGAGAGAGCAGCGTAATGCTGTGTGTACACAGTCTGAGCACGTGTGGAATATTGACATAGTGTACTAGAGAGCGGCTGTGTAGCATGGACAACACTTCTCTGGACGAGGAGTCACAATAACGGGGCTAAAGTATGTTGACCAGACCACACACTAGAAGGTGAAGGGACGACCACGTTTCGGTCCGTCATGGACCATTCTGAAGTCGATTGTCACAATCGACTTGAGAATGGTCCAGGACGGACCTTCTAGTGTGTGGTCTGGTCAACAGTTCTGTGTTCTCTCTATAACTAGTTACTCTCACCTTCTCCACCAACATAAACTATACATGCATCTTCCTTTGTTATCAATAATATTTATTACCTTTATTATTTATATTATATGTATATATTAAATGTAAATAAAGATAGATATATACACACACATACCAAAAGAATAGGGGTGGTAGGAGAAGAAAATATCAAAGTGTTCAGTGAGGATCCACAAGGTCTCTCTGAGTACTCTTTATTTTCTTCTCCGAGGCTATGGGTCCCTACACTTACTCCAGAGGTGGTACCCCTTTTAAATGTAAATATTATTACTTATAGATGGAGAGGTTTCTCAGGAGAGGCACATGTCAGTTCCAGGCTCACCACAACCTATTTCTATTTTACTGATAGGTGAACAGAGGCATCAGGTGTACCCAAACCAACGACCTACCATTCACAGGATTCATCCTACAACAACTGCCCAACTCCCTGGTAAATATTGTATTGCTTAGTGAACAGAGGCATCAGGTGAAAAGAAAAGTGGCAAATCAGCTGTTTTTGTCCTGCCCGGTGATTGAGAGCGGGTCCCTCGGTTGTGTGTATAGAACGTAGACCACTCTGCTACCCGTTAAGTAGAAAACACATGTAACACAATTCTAACACAAGCGTAATCTATTGTATTAATCAAAGACTTATTTAATACAATACAATACATTAAGCAGTTCATATAGACGCAGCCTCCTAATCTGTACTGTATAAGCACTATATATATATATACATTCCTTATGTATATATATATATATTTATATATATATAAATACATTCCTTCTGAAGATGTATTTAATATACGAAAGTACTTAAGGAAATTCCTGTTTCATTTTCCTCCGTGGTCTGACATTTTCACATTCTTAATCACGTGTTTATTTTCGTGATATACACACACATATATATATATATATATATATATATATATATATATATATATATATATATATATATATATATATATATATATATATATATATATACACACACACTGTGTGGGGTGCACCTCCGGTGTGTGTTGGCTAAGAGTTTAGTTTAGTGCTGCATAATAACCAGAACTAAAGTGTTTTTGGTGGTTGGTCAGTACGCTATTGTGGTGGCCTTGATATATGCTACACCCTCACAGTTGGTTGACCTTAATAACCCTCCAGAGGTTGATGGGCCTTATGGGTTGATAGTTCTTGACACACTCTGTACTCCCCTTCATATAGTCTAGGGCAGCCAGTTCTTGACACACTCTGTACTCCCCTTCATATAGTCTAGGGCAGCCAGTTCTTGACACACGCTGTACTCCCCTTCATATAGTCTAGGGCAGCCAGTTCTTGACACACGCTGTACTCCCCTTCATATAGTCTAGGGCAGCCAGTTCTTGACACACGCTGTACTCCCCTTCATATAGTCTAGGGCAGCCAGTTCTTGACACACGCTGTACTCCCCTTCATATAGTCTAGGGCAGCTGTACAAGTGTACGTGTACCTAAATGTGTGAAACAAAATCTCTTCGCATTCTGAGTGAAGGTAGAGAACAGGAGTCTGGGAGAAGGAAAAAAACAGGAGAGAAGGGAAATGCGGGAAAGGGGAAAGGTGGGTGGATGAGAGAAAATTTTGAGACGAGAGCGAAGACGGGGATAGAGAAGGGTCGAGAAAGAGGGAAAATTGGGGGGGAGATGTAAGGAGAGTTGGGGGGGGGGAGAGAGAGAGAGAGAGAGAGAGAGAGAGAGAGAGAGAGAGAGAGAGAGAGAGAGAGAGAGAGAGAGAGAGAGAGACTCTCTCCCAGCACCCCCCTCCCCCTAATATACAAATACACGAGAGCGACAACGTTTGAGCAGGTGGTGGACCCTTATCGCCTGGTGACGAGCTCAGGGGGTAGGGGGGAGGGGAGCGGCGCCCCGCGTGTCACCCACCTGTGGTCCGGGTGTGGTGCACGCTCCTCCACCCCGTCCTCCCCAGCAGTGGTCCCAACGTCAAGAGACTGTCGTACTAAAGTGCCTTATCCTAACCTACCAGAAGACCCACCAACAGAAAACGAGAATGGACAGAATGGGCCAGGACGGACCGAAACGTCGTCGTCCCTTCACTTTCCAGTGTGTGGTCTGGTCAGCAACAGAAACGAGACATTGTGTAAATTTCGCGAACGGAACAGAACTATCATGGGAAAGGGAAAAGCCAATACGACTTGGAAGGAATCAGGATAAAGATTAGGGGGGCGGGGGGGGGGCGATACCATTTTCTAGTAGGTTAGTTTTAGCCTTAGATAAGATATACGACGTGCTATTACGAGGACGGCTTCATATGTGTCCAGTCATCTATACAATAAAGTGGTGTCGAATTATTAACATTTAATTCATATTTCCCACTAGGAGGTATACGAGCACAGGTTTTCCTGAGCCATATGTGTAGGTTAAGAGCGTCCGTAGCACGCGATCTGATGACCACTTTACAACCAGGACCCCAATTACTGGTGGATGAACAGGGACTCAAGGAACGGAGGGCAGTCCTCCCTCTGAGTCCGGGGTTCGAACTCGGGTCATTCTCGCTTGCAGGGCTAATTAATACATGCATAATTAGCCAGTCACTAAATATAATTTAATTATGCCCTCTGCTTTTGTCTGAGATACGAGGAGCTGGAGGGAGATATAACGAATTGGAGGGAAGGGAACTATCAGGGAAAGCGCCAAGTCATTACAAGTACAGCACTTGGAAGGGGGTTAGGATAAGGATTTGGGATGGGACGGGGGCAAGGAATGGTGCCCAACCACTTGGACTGTCGGGAACTGAACGCCGACCCGCATGAAGCAAGACCGTCGCTCTACCGTCCAACCCCAAGTGGTTGGGGATTGGAGGAATGTATGAGGGTCGAGTCGCTTCAAAGCTGTTTAATGGTCCAACGACCAATTAGGAACCATTTTGACTAAACTGGGTGGTCCTTGAGTGTTGACTTGGGCCCAACACTCAGGCCTCCTTGAAGGAGGAGGAGGTAACTACTCAGCCTTCTGGCTCCTGGAAGCGCTCCTGGGGGCGCTGATGACTTCCTGCTCTAGAAGGATGTGTACAATCTAATTGTGTATTACAATATTGCATTGCGAAGCAGTGTTTTATTTTAATATAATGCAATATGCAATAATTAGTGAAATGTTGGGATGTTCATCAGTGCTTGTGAGATCTTGGCTACCCCTCATTTGCTATATTATTTATGGTAATGGTCATTACTGACACTACGATAGTGTACAAGTATGAGAGAGAGGTGATCTCTACAACCCTCCCCCCTCCCTCTCCCTCTCTCTCTCTCTCTCTCTCTCTCTCTCGGCAGATCTGTACAAACGACCTTAATTCACCCATGGATCAACGTTTAGACGACGTAAATATAACAACGGATCAAAGTTCCGACGACGTTAATATGATGGATAAAAATAGATGTTACGTTGATTAAACGTTAGTACTGGAGCATGTGTTGCCCTAAAGGTCCCCCCCCCCTGTCAAGTGAGGCTGCGTGTACTTACCCCAAGCCTGGCTGGTGAGGAGGGCGAGGCCCACCACCACAATCACCACACTTGGTACACCGCGGACCATGGCTGCTGGCGGGGCGGCGAGGGCGGCGAGGTGTCGCGGATGGGAAGACTGCGTCCAAGAGCGACGGTGAACCAGCTGGGGTCTCCCTTCAGCCGGAGTGACGCGCCAACAACCTCCTCGTCGTCGGCCTGGGTGACGCCGGCAGGTTCAGGAGGACGAGCAGGATTTAAGACTCCGCGGCGGAGGGAGAAGACAAGTGACTGTTTGATCTTGTCGCTGCTGCAACTTTCTTTGTTGGCTTCCTTTTTGTGTGTGTGGTCGTTTGATCTCCGGTAAACCTCTGTTCTTGGCGGGAACAAGCGAGGGGACTTGACGTTGTGATGGCGGGAGATGTCAGAGAGAGAGAGGGGGGAGAGGCGTGTACCTGCGGGAGTGTTCTTGGAGCCGTCGACACGCCACACACCGTCCACCAAGTATGATTAGAGCGGGTTTGTGTGTTGCCTTATAAACGGTTGTACACACCTGTTCCACCCTGGGCTCACCTACGCGCCCCGCGCTGCCAAGATCAATGGCAGCTCCAAAATCCTTCGTTCACCACCTACTGACCGCTGGGGGAATAATTTAGCTTTTAACCGAAAGATCTTTCTACAGTCATAAAAATCTTCCCGTTTATTATGCTTAGAATATAATCTGAAGTTAAATATAACATTCTCGGTGCGGTAGTAGACTGGACAGATACGTTTGTGGGGTCAAGTACAATGAAACAAAATACATGCAATAAAAATATTCCCTTTCCGGGAGACGCATCGCCCAGGCCGCCCTCTTCTGTGATTGGTGCGACCTCAAATATGATTGGTCATGCGCGAACCGCAGAGCTGTGACGTCATATTTCCCCAGCCAATGGGAGCCGCAGACGAGGCAGATTTTGTGTAGCAATTTAGAACGTCACTAGTGACGTGAACCAGTCACATAAAAAATAAATATACGCAAAAAAAAAAAAAAACAAAATATGTGCATGTTTAAGGAACCAAACACCTAATTATTGCGACTGAAACAAAATATAAATAATAACTCAAAGGACAGGACTGATAAGGGACCAAAATAACACAAAACTTTTTTGACTTTTAAATTTTGAATTTGAATTTTGAAAAAAAAACGGTCTGCATTTTCCCCCTTAAGTATTCGAGTCGAAAAGTTAAAAACAAACAAAAAAAGTTTTGAGAACACCCCCACCCCCTCTACTCTCCCTTAACCGGTGATACCTAAGGATTCGAATTATTGTTGATATTCGGCTGTTCGGTTTATGGAGGAAAGTTGCTTGATTGAAAATGGGCGCTTGTTTGCGCCCGGTGAGTGGGTGAGGCTTCTACTGACCCTCAAGTGATTGTTTGGGGAGTCAATAGGTGCTGTACATTGGTGGAGTGTGGGTGGTTGTGGGGGATTGTGGTAGTGGTGGTGGTGGTGACCTGTACCTTGGTGGAGTGTGGGGGATTGTGGTAGTGGTGGTGGTGGTGGTGGTGACCTGTACCTTGGTGGAGTGTGGGGGATTGTGGTAGTGGTGGTGGTGGTGACCTGTTCCTTGTTGGAGTGTGGGTGGTTGTGGGGGAGTGTGGTAGTGGCGATAATGTTATTGGCTGTTAGGATAGTGGTAATAGTTGTGGTTGTTGTGGTAGTGACAATATTGGTGGCAGTAAGGGTGAAGTAGATGGAAAGTAATGAAGGGTATAGAAGGTGAAGGGTAGGGAAGGTGGTGAAGGGTAAGGTATGGAAGAGTAGGGAAGGGAAGGGTAGGGTAGGGAAGGGAAGGGTAGGGTAGGGAAGGGAAGGGAAGGGTAGGGTAGGGAAGGGAAGGGTAGGGAAGGGAAGGGAAGGGTAGGGAAGGGAAGGGTAAGGAAGGTGGTGAAGGGTAGGGAAGGTGGTGAAGGGTAGGGAAGGTGGTGAAGGGTGGGAAGGTGGTGAAGGGTAGGGAAGGGAAAGGTAGGGAAGGGAAGGGAAGGTAGAGAAGGGAGTGAAGGGTGGGGAAGGAAGTTTTCGAAAAAACGTTTCACAAGGAACGTTTCACAAGGAACCTCTCACTAACAACCTCTCACTAACAACCTCACACTAACAACCTCTCACTAACAACCTCTCACTAACAACCTCACACTAACAACCTCACACTAACAACCTCACACTAACAACCTCTCACTAACAACCTCTCACAAGGACCCTGATGAAAATTTCTCCTTCATAAGACACGTGAAAAATATTGGAGCCGAATGAGGTATGAAACTAGCTTGTCTTCAGAGACTATCGTATCTCCTAGCTGCTAAGTGATAGTTACCTTGGAGTATTTCCGGGGCTTAGCGTCCCCGCGGCCCGGTCGTCGACCAGGCTTGCTATGTAGAGATGAATGCAACAACTGTCATACCGGGTCTGTAATGGAGCACTCACCACTAAGTCGGAATTCTTGTCCATAATTTTAGGTTGTTAAGTCGTATCTTAAGTTGTTACACAAGAGATGTAGCTGATGTATATGTCTTACAAAGACTCATTTGACTTTGTCGTACAAAGCCAAACATTATATATATACTGAGTTGGCTTCTTACAAGTTCTTCCTTCAAGAAAAAATTACCAAACATGAGGAATGGAAGGACGCTATGAGAAAGCGCCAAGCCATTGCGACTATATAGCACTTGGAAGGGGTCGGGATAAGGATTTGGGATGGGACGGTGGTGGAGGAATGGTGCCCAACCACTTGGACGGTCGGGGATTGAACGCCGACCTGCATGAAGCGAGACCGTCGCTCGACCGTCCAGTAGAGTGATATATGACTGCCAAACAAATGTTCCCTTTGCATCACCTCACCAGCCCGTCCTCCTAAGGTTTCCCAACGTCAAGAAACTGTCGTACTAAGGTGCTCTTATCCTAACCTACCAAAGGATCCAAAACAGAAAACGGGACAGTATGTGAATTTCGCGAACCGCTTCCATTTTCTAGTACGACAATTTGTGGCCTTAGGTAGAGTATGCGTCCAAGTGCGACGCTGTATTAGGAGGACCGGTTGACCACTTTGCCACTCGAAATAAACAAAATTATGGCGCGCACTTTGTCAAGAGGCTGGTGACAAAACCGTATTGACACTTCAACAGTTCAAAAACCTTGTAAATGTTTACCTGGGGAAACAATGGTATTAAATACAAATGTGGAATCCTCAGATTGCAATAAAAAAATAAAGTTCTAGCCTGCAAACTTCATAGTAACTAATGATTTGTACAAAAAAGTAATTGTAGAGAATGTGTGTGATGAGTGAGACAGCACCCAGACGTCCTGGCGGGAGCTTAACACTCTACACTTCATAAATATGATTTATGAAGACAAAGAGAGTGGCAAACACTTTACGCTCTCCTCGTGACACTTAGTTCCATCATGGAGTACTCGCCACTGACCAGGTCACTCGCTCCACAGCTTATCTATAGTTGTCATATTAAAATAATATATAAAGTCACACCAATGTTGTGGGCAAGTACACGTAACCCAGCTGGCGCTTGAGCACACACGTAACCCAGCTGGCGCTTGAGCACACACGTAATGGCGGGCTGGTTGGTGTTAATGGTCCACAATAATAACTCCAGGATATTGTCCTTCCCTACGCCTGCTTCAGGTATACACCGGCCGTATAAGAGATGACGAGCGGCTCTCAAACACAAGTCTTCCCCCCTTTGCACAACACACCAACTTTGGCGCCATGACTTGATGAGACGGGTCCAGGAGGGACCGAGACCTCATCACGTTCATTACGTGTGTGTGTGTGTGTGTGTGTGTGTGTGTGTGTGTGTGTGTGTGTGTGTGTGTGTGTGTGTGTGTGTGTGTGTGTGTTTTGTGTTTGTGTGTTCACCTAGTTGTGCTTGCGGGGGTTGAGCTCTGCTCTTTCGGCCCGCCTCTCAACCGCCAATCAACTGTTTCTACTACTATTTTTTCCACACCACACACACACACACACCAGGAAGCAGCCCGTGACAGCTGACTAACTCCTAGGTACCTATTTACTGCTAGGTAACAGGAGCATAGGGTGAAGGAAACTCTGCCCATCGTTTCTCGCCGGCGCCCGGGATCGAACCCGGGACCACAGGATCACGTGTCCAGCGTACTGTGTGTGGGGGTGCCGGGTAATTTGTTTCAGGCCCGTTATTGTGACTTATTCTCTGTGTCAAGGCAGTCTTTGTTGTAATTAGGTGTTGGTGGCGAGGGCGACCAAGACTGGTAGGGTGTTGACTACGCCGTGCTTGACAGTCTTGGGGAGACGCACACACACACACACACACACACACACACACACTTTAGTGTGTGTACCGAGAAGCGAGGTATACCTCCCGCTGTGTGTAATTCTGATGAACAATTAAGAAAATATAAAACAATTGAATAATAATAATAAGAAGAATATAAAATTTTTAATAATGATAATAATAATGGCAATAATAATAATGAGACTGGTGTAAGAGGCAGTTTGAGATGGAAGAAGTAAGAGATGGAAGGAGTGTGTGTGTGACAGTAAGATGTTAACGTCAAGTATAGAGAGGAGCTCCTGAAGACAGTGACGAGAGGTCGCGTCCTCCACAGCCCTCAGTGGCTAGGGAAGCCCTCCGCCCTGAAGGACGGGAACCTCTCTGACGAAGAGTCCTGACGCAGCACCTTGAAGACCTCACTTGCTCCCAGTAACACGTCGTGTCTCACACAATACCGACACCCGCTTGATATGTTATCACTACTGAAGTGTAATTTATATCAGCGGGTCCGCATTTAAACACCCCCCCCCCATCCCTTCATATTTTCATTTAATGTATTATCTACACTCCAGGGGGGACTGTAAGCCCATACATCCTGAAAAGATAAAAAAATGCTTCTAAGTAACACAGTTTTATTTCAGGTATACACAAGAAGCACCTCAGATCTGTCACCACAGTTGGCCGGATAATGGAAGGCTGACTGTGTCTGGAGTGACTGTGTCTGGAGTGACTGTGTCTGGAGTGACTGTGTCTGGAGTGACTGTGTCTGGAGTGACTGTGTCTGGAGTGACTGTGTCTGGAGTGACTGTGTCTGGAGTGACTGTGGACTAGCGAGAATAGACAGTGCTGGAGCATGTGACAGGTGTGGCATACGTGAGCGTCATGCATGGTTGAGAGAGACACAGTTGATGGACAGGTCACCGCCGTGCAAATGTTACCACTTGCACGAGCAAAGCAATTCTGACTCTTATCATCCGAGAAAAGGCAAAATTATAGGGATTGAGAGGCGTATCTCGAGGTTGATTGACCTTAATAAGCCTCAAGAGGTTGATAAACCTCGATAACCCTCTAGAGGTTGATAGACCTTAATAACCTTCCAGAGGATGATGAGCCTTAATAGCCCTCTAGAGGTTGATATAGGCCTTAATAAAACTCCATATATTGATAGGCCGTAATAACCCTCCAGAAATTGATAGACTTCAATAACCCTCCAGAGGATGAT